CTTCATCATCAGTTTCATCAACAGTGGTAGCACATGCACATAAAAAACTATGTTAAACAAGTGAATGTTTTGCTTTTTAAAAAAAGGAAGAAAAAAGAAAAGAAAAAAAGAAAAGACACATTGAGATATCAAGTAAGGGTAAACTACGGTTTAAGCATGCGCAAATAAGTTATTGACACTACCCTAATGGGAAGGATGGACCTGCTAAGACGGAACCAACTTATCAACATCAGGTTTCAGATTGGTCAGTAGCAGACGCAAATCGCTACGCTTCGTCAGCAACCTTGTCACTGCACTGAATCCCCTTTCTACTAGATAAGAGGCGGGAAAAGAGATGAACAACAACTTGATCTTTTCCCACAGGGAGGGTCTTGCACAACAGTTTTCAACCAGAATGACTGGTACGGCTTTTTGAACAATGGTTAGATTTCAAAGTCACATTTCATCGTCAGAAGCTCTTCTTCAATTGCTACTTGCAAGTTATCTTCTGTTTCAGTGTTCAATGGGTCCAGTATCCAGTATGGAATTTCCAGTTAAAAAATATCAGGAGGCTAAACCTTGTCTTCATATCAGCGTGCAAATCTCCGAGGTGGTTGCTATATATATTTGTAGTTCCTCGTCAGAAATGCGCCCTTCTTTCAGTGTCTTCGTCAAGCTAGGAAACTGAGAAATTTTCTTCTGCCAATGTTTTGGGGGATCATTTCCAATTTCGACAAGAATGACGAAAGCCTTGATCAGATTGGTGTCATCCCCCTGCAGCTGAAAGTTGAACTGGTTGAAATTTGTGAAAAGATCTGTGAGGAGCGCAATGTTGTTCTTGTGTTCTTTCAGTTTATTGCAGAGATCAATGTCTGTTTCTTGAAAAAAAAACCTCCAGCACAGAGTCAAACAGGCAGAACAATAATTGTGTTCAACAGTTTCCTTTCGAGAGCCACCAGAATTCAATGTGCAAAAGTAAGCATTGAAAGTACACGTCATTTTCAATCTCGAGTTCAAAGTGTGGACTTTGATATTGTTCACACACTTGATGCCAATGGCCAGTGTGTCATGCAGACTATCATTCAGGTTTTTTACAACCAAATTCCGTCTGTGAATGACACAGTAAATAGTAAATACTCCATGGACTAATTTCTTCCAGAAGTTCATAAATCCACGTTTCCGACCTGCCGTCGACGGTGCCCCATCTGTTGCACAGGCAACTGTATTGGTCAGAGGGATCTGTTTCTCCTCGAAAAATTCTTGGACCACTTTGAAAATGGACTCGCCTTTGGTATCTGTTTCCGACATTTTCGCAAATAACAATTCTTGCATTATTTCCTCACCTTCTATGAACTGATATCCAGTTAAAGGCTGAGCTCACGTCCTTTCAGCATTTTACACAGTGATTCCTCAACATTAGCTGACATCTCATCTAAACGTTTTTGAATGGTATTTGCACTTAGTGGGAAAACTTTCAACACAGACTCCGGGGTGCGTTGCAGGACAAGCTGACCACCTCTCTTATCGCAGGCAATATGAGGTCCTCACCGATAGCATGGTGTTTCCCTGCCTTTGTAATTAGCCGAGATATATTATATGTTGCTCGTAAGCCTTCATCAGCTTGATCGACGTTGGCTGCAAACATCGGTTTCACTGATTTTCATTTCTGAAAATTGATCTTTAGAGTTTTGAAGTATGCCACATCTTTGTCAGATTTGTCGTGATGAATCTTCTTTATATGGGATTTGCGGGCTGGGAAAGAAAGTTCTTAGTTATTAGTGTAAACTATGCCTAAGCTATCAATTTTTGTTTTTGTTTTTGTTCTTTTATGTGGCTTTTTTCCCCTCATCATTTTTTATGTTGCGTGTCATGAAAATTTCCCACCGCCCCCTTAGCGCCCATCAGCGCCCCCCAATCGCCTAGTTTCGCCACAGTGCCCCCCAAACTCTCGCAACCGCCCCCCTGGGGGCAGTAGCGCCCACTTTGAAAACCACTGATCTTAACCTTCTAATTTGTGCATCTCTATCTCTCAAGATTTGTTGCTCCATTCCAGTAGAATGTAAATATCATAGACATAAGCCAATGACTTTCGGCTGACGTCAATGCACCGATCATTCCTTTCATCGAAAGGGGGCTCAGCTAGTATAATTTACAGGACAATGTATTGTTTGTGCAATTGTAGGATAGGAAAATATTGTATGTTACACAAATTTTCAAAATATTTTTTGCTGTGATGTTGCGTAAAGTATGCTAATATATGCTAATGAGATGACTTATGATGCCTATAAAATTCGTGGTCATGACTGTTCAGCATAAAAAGTTATGGTAAGGTGCCAAGTTTCAACGCTGTAAGCAGATTAGTTCAAAGACTTTGTCTTTCAGTCTACTGAGGGTTGTGCTGGCTTTTGCTATTCATAATGGCGGTCCTGCAATGGAATGCCGGCGGAATCCGACCTTCCATTGCAGAATTGCAACATTTACAGGCCACACTGTGCCCACGGGTGGCCTGTATTCAAGAAACAAAATTCGCCCCGGCTTCAACCATAGACTTAAGAGGATTTACTGCGTACCATCACATTCACACGGAGAACCAGATTGCTTCCGGTGGTACCACCATCTACACCGACAACCACACACTCCACAGACAAGTACATCTTAAAGCGACCCTCCAGGCTATTGCCGTACGGGTCACCCTGCACAGACCAATCACGATCTGCTCAGTTTACATCCCACCAAATTACCCCCTCAAAATAACCCAACTAAATGACTTAAAGTCCCAGCTCCCAAAACCCTTTATTTTACTAGGTGATTTCAATGCCCACAGCCCCCTTTGGGGAGACAAACCTATAGACCAGAAAGGTAAAATAATAGAAAACTTTTTATTTCAAAATAACATCTGTCTCTTAAATGATAAATCCCCAACTTACAGAAACAGAGCCACTTATGGCACTTCATCCCTTGACCTCACTTTT